GTGAAACACCGTTATTTGAGTTAAATCGACTGAAGAATGGAATAGATGTGTCTGCAATAAATGCATATACCAACATTCATTGTATAAGCAAAACCATCTATCGAGAGAGCAAAAGCCATGCGATAATCCCAAACAAAGAAATATATTGTGTGCAAATGAAACAACTGCATTGGCTTTGTGTGTGACAAAACTATAGCAAAACAAAAGAGGAGCTAAAACACGGAAAACAACAACTTTCGACAACAACATAAAAAAAATGAGTCGTGCGTGCATACAATCAGGGTTCATTATATTCAAAGGATTCTGATGTTTTTCATTCACGGTTACACATCATTTTTTTTCTGGTTTTATTCATTATTATTGCAATTACAATATGGTCATAGAGCGTCGAGCTCAAAAAGTAATGAAAAGAAAACAAAACAAAATAAAGTCTCGCATTCGAAATGGACGAAAACACCACAACGCCATATTAGACACAGCCGTTTCAATGTAGTGGTAAATTTTTGAATTGAAATACACACACTCATACATGTGCACACATAAACTCACACACAAAGCACGCATACTCATTCAGTACACTCAACCAATACGACGACATGGTTATTTTGGTTGTTCATACAATTCTCTATACAATTCAACACTTTCGATCCAAATATCGAAACATTCTACAGCATCCGGCTTTTATTTCAAGCAAAAATTGTAACAGAAAGTGTGAAAAACTTGGAAATTTGCATTGTATGGCTCATTTTAAAAGTACATCTGAATGAATGAATGCATTTTTCAGTTGTGTTTGGGTTTTTGTGTTTGGGTTTTGTACTTATTGTGTGTTCAGAATGGTGAACTTATGACAATTGCTCAAGAAAATCGATAGAAGTGCGCTGCGTGTGCATTCTGGGTAAATGACACCCCGAATCGGTATTCGAAATACGAACTCACCATCACTAACATCCACAAACAAATGTCCAACCACGAAACGGTCAATGAGGATGCGATTTCAAATAACAAACTTTGAGCACATCGAACCGTGAATGAAAATGATATACAAAATTATGTTCAACGAAAAGAATTTTTTATACTCTACGAGAACATTTCTTTTTTACCACATTCATATGCTGTCATGCATATGAAAAATGAGCCAATTTCGTGAATTCTAATCATGGCTGTTATTTGATACATTTTGAATTGTATTTTGATATCGAAATTACTGTGTAAAGACAACACAACAAAATTTCATTACAAAATTAACGTTTCGAAATCACTTTATAACAATGAAAATAGATAACACAGTATTTGCGAACAAAAGAGGAAATGAATATAAATAACAAGCATTTATCGTTGGTATGTTATTTTTATCACGGCCCACTGAAAAAAACAAAACATTTTTAATGAAATCCAGACGCAAAATAATATCGCATTTATTGTGGCACATTTCAATATGTATCCACTTAGGTGTTTCCATTATTGTTCTATCTCGTCATTGATAGCGATGCAACTAACCACCATCGTCGCACATTTGATTGTCAATTTTCAACAGAACAAGTTCTGTTTATTAATATATTGAATGCAATCAACTTTGGGCAGAAGTACTAAGAAAAACTGATTGAGATTTATCAACCGAATACAAAACGATCGAAATCAAAACATTAAAAAAAAACGGTAAATTTTATGTTTTCAGTTGAGATTTTATGAGTGCTGATTAGTTGAATGCAATTAAAGTGAAGCTGAAAGCTCAGTGTAGAAAAGAGCAAAAATAGACTCTAATCCCAAGTCGTGTAAGAACGCGTGAATTTTTGTCGGTTTTGTGAAATCCATCGAATGCAAAATAAATTATCCAAAATGTTTTGGAAACTGAACATCGTGAAATAAACACATAAACAGCGAATGAGAAACAGCCCATTAGCGGTGAATTTCTCATTACTTCGTATTATTTTCGATTTGTTAACGAAAAAATATACGAAAATTCGATAGAAAAAAAATGGCAAACGTTTATTTTAAATTCGCACCGATGACCAATTTCATCACATTCATTTCGAGCGCGTTCGTAACACTCCTGTTACTGCAAATCGGCACAAATCGAATGCAATTTGTATGTGGCGGTACAACTACCCCTTATCCAGATGCGAATGCACGACCAACCATAGCATCAAAGCTAGAAAACTACTTGACATCATCGGATATCACGTCGACGACAAGCGGATATGTGAATATTTACAATGGAAATGATAACTATGGTAAAAAACAAAAACAACTCATTAATTTTAAACTTTTTTCTCTTCTCAAAACTTACAAATGTTGTCAATATTTTTGCAAAAAAAACTCAACGATCAAAATAAGTTGGATAATTTGTAAACAAACGGATAGAGACATGAATCATAACAAAATAAAAAAGCAATTCAAATAAGCGTTATGACGACACAACGCGTTGAATGATTAAAATGAGTCATAAATTGCTTGAGAATCCACTGCGGTTATGTGTTTAGCTTAATTAAACGTAGAAAATAATAGGTATCGTCGGTTATTTATCCATTTGTTCTTCAATTTTATGTTCGCACCCATTATCTTGACTAATTGACTTGTTCTCATGGATTTTTATTTTTAGCGATAAAAAATGACACATATTACCTTTTTATCATATTATTCATTTTGTTCAAATTATATTTTATCTATATTCGCTAGTTGAAAAGTACCATATAGTATAGTAATAGTCACCACAACATTTTTTTTTCGAAAAAGTAGAAAAATTTCATTTGATAATTTAAATATTATATGAGGAAAAATGTGCAATGCATTTGCGATAAATATCATTATTCGATTAATTTCGGATATTTGGAATGGTGGACGAAAAAACGCCCGCAAAATCGAATAAAAAAAACGAATCAAAATAATTATGAAAAATAGTGAAATATCAATTTTCGTCGCTTATAGGGGTGAAAATTTCGAACTACATTTTTCAGCTATACTTTCATTTTTATATCCATTCGGATTCAATATGTAATCGAAATCTTATGATGGCTTTTCATAAATTAATTAAATAATTGAGGTGCCAAGTAACCCAGCAAAGTTATGATTGGAAGTCTTTTGTTATGATTGGAATGACCTTTTGATCAAATCACGCATTTTTCTATACTACTAGCATAATATTTTATTTATTTTCGATGTTGATTTCAACAACAAATTCCCATTTATAATTGGATTATGCATTCAAATCAACCGTGAAATGAACTCACACGTGCATTCATCAAACCGGAACGGTATCTATTCCAATCATAAAATCGATATTTATACGGTTGATCGACACCGATTTAAAATTATTAATCGAACTTTTTGAAACATTTTCGCTGCTTTTTTTTCAATAATTCTTTTTTGTTTTGTATAAACGAACGCTGTTCAGAAAAATGAATAATTCCACCCACTTCGAATAATTTTTTTTTTAGATTTTCTTGCAATTTTGGGCAAAAAATGAATAGTGCACATTAAAAAGAAAAATTAATGTGTATAACTCATGCACAAGGTCACTTTTCAAGATTGGTTTATATTATAGAAAAAAAGAAATTTGACACCTCATTCAATTAAAAAAACACACACACGATATATATATTTGGACCTTTTTCATTTTTAAGCAAAATCTTTTGTATCCATTGCATTCATTTTTCTTTCAATTTGTAAAAAAACCGTATAAAAAATACTATTTGTAACCAATTGATGAATACAGCGAGTCAATACAAGCGTAAATGATACGTGATATTACATGATGGAACATTTTTCGTATTATTTTTCATTCTCGTCACTGTGAATAAATATTCGGAGTGGTATTTATGCTAAATAAAAATTCATGTCCAAAAAATTGTGACGACAAAAAGTGGATCAAAAATTCTCTGTTATATGTACATTGGCTCAAACTCTGCCACTTTTTGATTACTGTCAACGATTCTCGATAAAAAAAAATTGTTATAAAAAAAAGCGGCCAGTTTCGGCATGTGACTTTTTGCATAAAATAATAAAGATAAATGTAGGCAGATATGTAGTGTTTCGAATTAAATTTTTCAAGTGTGAAAAAAGGTGATGTAAAGAGCCTTTCATGTTTTCATTCGGAATTTCGCTTCACTTGTGAATTTTGTATTTTGTGAATCGATTTTGGTAGGATACATACAAATTGAAATAAATTTTCCGACATTATGCTCATTTCCATCATTTATGACTTTTCATCATAATTACATTACTTTGAATATTCGTATGCTATGCTCATATCACAACCGTTTAAAAAAAAAAAAAAAAAAAAAAAAACAAAAAACTCATCGGAACAAACATGTTTTTGTTTGGATGTTTTTTTTTTCGCAATTGCACCGAGGTGGTTTTAGTGTGCATTTATTTGGATTATTGTCAAAATAAAAATATTGTCCGACGAACATAGTGAATATCAATTTGTTTGAATCATGTACACACATTGACCAAAAAATAATGTTGCTTAACTATACTAATAATAAAATGGATGTTCAATCTACTCCAAATATAGCAAATGTAAATTTTTTAGATGCAAAGCCAAATTATTACATCAGATGTGACAATTCTATATTTTTTTGTTCTCTCGTTGAAAACTATTTTCATTTTTGTCACTGATCCAGTCATCGTATGCAAATTTTTCCACCGTTGATGGAATAAATTTATGGAGCGAACAAAAAGCATTAACAAGCAAGCAATATGACTGAATACAAATTTGCTATAAAACAAATTCAAAATGAATGAAAAAAAAAAAGATCATTGAAACCATGTTTTGAACATTAAAACTCCAGTCACGTATCGTTATTATGGCATGCATGTCAAAAGATCAAAATAATATTCTGAAAAATGTGTGGCAAGAGATTGTGTACACTTCAATGTATTGGGTTATTGGAAAATGAAATATTCTCTTAACTTGAGCTATAAAATATTTTCTTTCATTTGCTGTGAACAATATGATTTTAATTTATGGCCTGCTTTTTTTATTGTTATCTCATTTATAGTGCCAAGTAAGCCGCTCAATTTGACAGTATTAGAAGTGACATCAACTACAATAACAATTGGATGGCGCGATCCAGAAAATTTGAATGGTGCAATTGTGGGATATCGCGTCTTTTACATTCATCAAAATCAAACGTATTTTGCTACAGTACGCAGTGGCACCGGTGCTGGTGAAATGATCAGATATGATTTATGCGATCTTAGTAAGTTGCATTGTTTTTGCGCCAATTTCAACCAATTTTGTTTCGATGTGATTCAGCCTAATGATTTCTCGTTAAAAATGACAATTTCAGAGCCATATTCGGAATACAAAATCACGGTGAAAGCATTTACATGGAAAAATGAAGGCGAAGCATCCGATGCGGTCACACAACGAACGGATATCAGTGGCCCAAGCGCACCCATTGTTTCTAATTTAACCTGTCACAATCTCGACGCATTGTATTTGAGGTGGAAACGACCCGCCGAATATTACAACACTATTGATTACTATATTGTTAGTTTTCGATCCGTTGCACAGCATGAATTCCAAGAAATTAAAATAAATGCATCGGCCAGGCATTTGGAGACAGCGGTTTGTATTTCAAGCTCATCAACGTTTTTGCTCAATACGAATTGAATTCGGATTTGGAATTGTAATTATTTTTTTCTCGTTCGCTTTCAGATGGTTCTACCTAATTTAACCACTGACACATTTTACGAAGTAAAGGTTCGTGCGGCATCAATAAGCACCATTAACACACGACAGGTCATTTTGGGCTCATATTCTGAACCACAGAAGGTGCGTACTTTAATTTGTAATAATTAGACGAATATGTGTTATATGATCAATATTTTGCTTTTACTCTCGCCGTATAGATTTTGTTACAGCTCAATTGTGAGAAAATTCAACCACTACAGCAAAAAACTCCAAATGATTACAACTTGGCAATGATGGTTGGTGCATTATTCAGTTGCTTTGGAATTATTTTAATTCTATTGGCATTTGTATTGTGGCGGTAAGTATTAATCATTTATTTCTTCTTTGGAATGGTCATGAAATAAGTAGTTTCGTTGATTTAATGCAAACCATTGTAATGAAAAAAAAAAAAAAATGCAAGTAACGACACAATTTCATGTTATACTGAGATAACATTTTCGATTTTTTGAAATTAATTTACATTCGCTTTCACACTTTTCAAACATTTTGTATGTTTAGTTAAAATTTCTGACGGAGAAAGAGTGACACGAAGAAAATGTTTTCGGTTAAAATTGTGGAAAAACATTTTTTAATAAGTAATAAGAGTAATGGTCTTATTATTATTGTCGCGAACGCGTATAAAATTAAATAAAATTAAAAATAACTGCTATACAAAAAAATGGGGGCGTCCCCACAAAGGGGCCATCTTTTTAAAATAAATGCCCCTTATAATGTGAAATCTACATTGTGAATTTATCGAATAATATGCTCATAGCAAACAGAGATGGCAAAATCAAATGTAATTGATATCTTTTGATTTTGCCGTTTCTGTGTTTGATAAGAGAATTTCATTTCAATTATTAGTAAGCACATACAAAAAATACAAATTAGATGAAGATACTTGTTTGCAATACAACGCTGCATAGAACTCTTTCAATTCTCTTTTCAATTATGAATATTGCTAATCAATATTTTCGAAATATTTTTAAATAAAATGGTGTGTTTGATTCATTTCTTCGACTTTGACTTTGAACCAGACAATATATTTGGATTTTGTCATCTGGATATTTCAGCCTAGATTTCAGCTCCAAGATGACAAAATCCAAATATATTATTACACGAATATACTTGAATATTGAATGTTAAATGCGAAAATGAGGCATGTGATGAACTATAATTGAATAAAAAAAATGTTGAAATGCCATTCCTCGAATGAAAAATGTTATTCACAAAATGTATCACAAAAAAGAATCTCTGTTGCAATTTATTTGTTGCTTACTCATTGTTACATTTTCGAAATTATGACAGAAAAGTTCTGATCAAACATTCTATTATTTTATGTTTGGTTTTGAATTATTCTATTATTTGAATCGTCCCCCATGCCGTGTCAACATTTTCCTGGCATAAATTTCTAGCCGGGTAAAAGAAGCATTTTTTCTTATGAAAAACTCAATAGAATCGAAAATAGTTTTCATTTCGAATGATTATTCATTTTAACACTGAAAAAGTTCAAAAAAAAAAATGAAACATCGAAAATGTGCGTGCACTGAAGCTGCATATGATTTTTTCTTTGTTTCAGCCAAGATGAGATAATAGTATGAACAGAGACTAGAATCATTAACAAGAAATTCTAGATGCTTATAACGTAATAATACAGTATGTGTACTGTATGAATGTGCCAAATAATAACGGCGGTATTGTTGTTAATCGAAGTGCGAGGCACACGCATGATGGTACTTCATCCGAATGAAGAAGATACAAACTCATACATATGCGATTGCTTAAAGCGAAAAGATCTTCAAGGTATAAATGCAGAAAGAAGAAGAAAACGCAACACCTAGTTTTTCTCATGATATCGTTTCTAAGCTTGTGAAATGTACAGTTGTATAGCGGACAACACACATTTGAGTTCAGAATTTACGTAACAGCATGCAACATATTCAAATCTGGATTTATCTTTCTGTCTCTGTTTTCCGCTATTCGTTTTCATAAAATGACAGTGCTCCAAAACGCGATGCGCGAAGTTCACAAAGAGTTCGTTTCGCGTTCATAACACATACGGAAGAGTGAGTGGCTGCCAATAGCACAACGTAAGTCGTTCGTTCGTATATATCTTATACGGTCGTATACATGCGGTGACTATGTACTCCATCAAACATATACGGCTTTTCGTGCACCGTATTCCACTCCGTATCGTTGTGTCGTTCGTAGCTTTTATTCAGCGTATATTTCTTGTCCTTTTCATGCCACTTTCGCACATCGTTCTGTCTTTATCGTGGAATAATACTCGTGCTATGCCCACTGTTCTTAAGTTGTGCATTTCAGTAACGACTGCGTTATTTTCCAAATCGGACACTGAAAATTCTTGTTTGTTCTGTTCCAATGTGAATTTATTCATAAGGAATTGTTTTGTTGCGTTGTAGTTTTTTTTTATTCGTTAGTATCATTTTCAAAGTTCGCACCTTTACGGGCACATTTCGAAAACGTGAGTTCGTTTCGATTAATTTTTAACCTTTGGTTGAAGATTGAAGAGACAACTTTCATTCGTTGTGAAATTTGTAATAAAAAAAAAACTTAATCAACAACAGTATATACATAGTTACGAAACGAGTACTATCATATTGTGTATGAGGTATCAAAAAAAAACGTCGCATGATTTTTTTTAATTCGAAAATAACCGAAAAATTCACATGATATTTTGAAAAACAGACATTCAATGAAAAAATAAAATAAATAAACAAAATACGATGACAACGAAGCATTCTATAGAATATATTTTTGTGTGCACTTATAAATGTGAATAAAATCGTTCGACATTCAAATCGTAGTAAACAAATTCAATCGAAACGAAAACGCTTTGCCTGTCATTTCGTTTAATTACACATCATTTTGAAAAACTAGTTTTTGAAATCGATTGAACTGAATTCTGATTTACGCTTATCATCATTTGGCTAAGTTTCGGTTTCAAATAAGAAATTGCGACTTTAGTATTACATACATTTCATGGCAGGAGTATAGAAACAACATCAAGGATATAAAACGTGCTTGGTATATGGCCATATGTGAACGTTTATTTATATTTGTATAGATTGCGCTGGTATTATTATTATTATTTTTTTTGTGTAGTTTTTTTTTCTCGTCTTCGTCGCACAATATATAGACGACGCATTTGACGTTTCCATTCAGACAGAGAAAAACGAACGAAAGAGAAGAAGAGAACGAGAGCGCGCAAAGTGTGTCGATTTATTACATACACATGTATGGGTATGCCATTGATATACGCAAAGAAGTACAACATAGATATTGTGAGAATCGCATAGATACCGCTGTGGGACTGAGAGTAGTACAAATGTGTGCGCTCTCTCACTGACAGTGGGAAGAAAAGGTTAAAAAAAAGCGGAGCATATTTACAAGGGAAAGCCCTTGTCCGATACGTACGAGCATTCAAACTCTCTGTGGTTGATGAGTAGAGAAAAAAAATAAAAGGAAAGAATTGAAAAACTTGATAATAATATACAAGCGTGCAGAAAAAATATATATATTTGGAATCAAATATTTTGCTGGTGATTCGTGTTGTCTTTTTTGTTCTTGTATCAATTTGATTGTGGTTTTATTTGATGTTTGTCAAATCGACGTAGTTTTGCAAGTGTTTTTATACGCCATTGCATCAGCTGTTCCAATTTTTTTTTTTTCATACAAAGTAGTGTGTTTTTTTTTCTTTGTCAAGTGCAAAATATTGAGGAAAATTGCCGATTTATTCACGATAAACTAAAACGATTATCGGCCGTAAATAGAGAATTGATTGTCTTGTAAAATGAGAAAAACATTGAAATAGCTCTAGTTTAAGAGTTCATAAGGTGTCAAAAAAAAAGTTATTCATTTATTTTTGTTATTTCATTTTGAAACGAACGAATAGTACGTAGAACAGTCGAAATTAGAATCATGACGAACTATATGTAAAATTAATCACAAACTGATGTGACGCAAAAAGAAAAACAAACGAAAACGTAGACAACAACAACAACAACAGAAAAAAAACAAAACACACAAAAATAGTCAGCTAATAATTCAGTTGAGAAGGGAAATTCATTGAACAAAAAGTGAAGAAAAGAGTGAAGTACTGTTTTGCAATAGAAGTGTGACGCTTTTGCTTGTAAATTATTCATTTGATGCTTTTCCACTGATAATTCATCGATATAGTGATGGCTAAGCGTGTTAAAAAGGGTGACAATTGGTTTACGTAAGTATTTGGTTATATCTTATAACATTAACAGGCCATATTGAAAAATAAAGTTCACTGTCGAGATGAATGATTTTAATTAGATCATTAAGGTTTAACGCTTACAAGAAAAACGCGCAAAGTTAAAGCGTATACTGTTATCTCAACTTTTCACAAGTGGCCTTTTTACATTTCACTTTATGCCGAATTCATTTCAATTGGAAACGAATCAGTATTTACCGAATTCGCTTGCCAAAGTTTTGTTTATTTCGAACAATTGTTTTTTTTTTTTTTTTTTTTTTTTTTGTCAAACCCCAATGCACAATCATTTTTTTTTACCTTCAATCTTTCATAGTACAATGGTGAAGTAATGTACACAAAAATAATTATTTTTCTATAATAAATGGCATCGATTATGAACATAAAAAAATCGACGAGAATTTTAATGGGCATAATCATTTCAAGCTTAATATTTAAAATGCTATTTAATTTGCTGTAGATGTAAACAAATTGGAAATAAACCATTTTATTATACCAAATACAAAACTGCGATTGAAAAACGCAAAATATCACTCATTCACGTCTAATAATCGGTGTGTGTATATAAATAGTTTTTCGAAGAAAAAAAAAAACTACCAAGATGAATATAATTCACATATTCTATAGTTGAAACGAGTGAAGCACATAGACATAATATTGGACGTTTCTGTTTGTTTGATACTTGTCACAATATGGACGGTTGTTTGTTATCTAGTCTGTGTGCACATGAAAAGCATTGAATGAAGAACGAGAGAAAAAGACTCTATTCTACACAATTAGTTTACTCCTCAATTAATACACATACGTTTTCTTACATCTTCTTTGTTTTTATTCTATGAATCATACGGAAACGTGTACATGGTGTTTTTTACGTATTGTGTATATCGTCTTCTCTTCTTTATTTTATTTTTGTTTCAATTTATTTTGGCATAATATACGTCGTTTGGATTTTAATCGTTCAATATCTTTCTGTTTTCTCTATTATTCAAACGAAAAAAAAAGACACAAACACACTCACATCCAATCGAATGTGTTCGAATATCTTCGAATGTATTCGTATGAACGCAAAATATCTTTTATCAACTTAAAGCTAAAATATAATGTCGCCGTTTCAACGTATCAATATACCGAGCCCACATATTGAATTCTGATGAAAATTGCTTTCATTCTCAGTGACGATTATTTACTCGATAGAGCATTAAATTCAGCACTGATTTGTATGGTGTTTATCTATACTGTGATAAAACACACGACTCCAACTATAATGATAACAAATGAAAGTAAATAAAAAAAAACGGTCTTTCGTTGGAAATTTGAACAGTTGAACGGTGTGATTTCTCGAGTGAATATGATTATTGTTCGATACAACGCATATTTCTCTCTATCTCTTAACTTTAAAAATACAATAATAGCATCGCAGCGACCAACACATATTCAAGCGTTTTGCGATTCATTTATATTGGTTACCATTGCTACCAGTGCATCGCAATTATATGCGATTGTATAAAAAAAAGCGATAATAAGCGGCATTCTAATCTGTAAATGAACATTTCATTTTTGCTTTTTACAATTCGCTAGTCAACAATTAGAACATTTGTAAAATGTGCCACAGAATATTTTAAGTGGTCCTTAATGATATACAATGCATATATGTGTCATCGTACACGGTGAGATCATTTTTTTGTTCCTGTCTTGCGCTTCGAAAATTATCCGAAAAGATTCCTCAAGATTGTGGAAATATTTTTTTAAGATGATTTCATCGCATCTGAAATTACGAGTTCTTGTTACATTTGAAACGTGGCTTGCATTCCACTTCAAGCAAACGTGATAATTTTTTTTTTTGTGATTACCCTTTCAATATATAGCACATACATATGTATTTACAATATAAAACTTGAACATCTGCATATTAAATATAAAAATTCCGCGAAATTTCGAAAAAAGATACGATTTCGAAGTTAACAAAAAAAGTGTAAACGATCAGTTTAATTGGGTAGCTTATCGTTTATAACAAGTTGAGTATTTAAGTTTTGAATACGCTTTTTGGTTTGGCCATGTATTTTTATGGTCTGAAACAAACATTGATAACGTCAAAATTCAACAGAGACTCACACAAAAAAACACCGTCTACCATCAAAACCATTTATTAACGTTATTCAAAAATACATAAGACCAATTCAGATCAAAATGCTAACGAATTAAGGAGACATATACTGGCTCACCAAAAATTTAGTAATGAAGATAAACAAAATACAACTTCCGTTCCATTTGCGGTTGTCATTTGATTAACTTGAATCAGCGTCTGAAATAAATAATTCGATGTCATATACAGCTAACAGAAAAAAAACATTACTTGTAAAAATCAAATTGTATGATATATAGAAAATGTGTAAATGTTCACACATCTCCTCTTAATTGCGACTGATTTCATTACATATATGAATTCTATACGCACAAAATATGTTTATCACATCGTTTTATGTTTATTTCCCAATTTAAATTTGATCTTTGATATTACGTTTAAGTAGTATCATATCAGACAATTGACAACGGCATCTGATCGTTATTACACAACAGAGAAACGCACACCGAAATGTATGTTATTGTAAAGACTGCAAAAAAAGAAATCGAAACACATATCCGAAATTGATAATACAATGACAGAAACTAGCATTTACAATGAATAGATAAAATTGTACTATATTCCAAAGAATTCCGAGACGAAGATAATAAAGTAGATAGCTCACAGCAATTGTCTCGCATAAATGTTTTCAACATTTCAAGTAAATTGACTGACACGTTGTCTATCATACGAGTTCTATGCAATTACATTTCAAACATTACCTTACAAATTGTACATAGAATAGGTAAATAGGTAAATGTTTGGGATCGATAAAATTACCTTATGGCATACCTGAAATATAATCTACGACAACCAAATCACTTTGTTTGTTCAAGTATAAACTAATAATATATAGTATTGATGAATTTATTATGAGCGCTATTTTCATAATTTTATTCATCACAATTTTCATTAAATTCGAAACGAAAAGACATTCCCATTTTAAGTGGCCATTCCCAAATTTATTCTGTCTTCTAATATGTTCAATATTCTAATAGCAATTTTTTTGATATGTATTTTTGCAGAAAATGCTTCCACGCCGCATACTACTATTTGGATGACCCTCCTCCTAATAATTGTAAGTTATCAAATACCTGATTACCATGTATCATGGTTGTTCATCGTGTTGATCGAAATGCGATGAAAATGGAGGACAATAGATAAATATTGAATAATTTTCTGTGAACTCAATCAATTGAACCAGAGTTAATAATTTTTGTGAACTTTTTTTTTTTGTTTTAATGCAAGGCCAACCGTTAATTGATTGGGATCAACCGGTTGAGGTTGGTGGCGAAATACGATCAGCGGTGCCAATAAATGAATTCGCCAAACATGTTGCTGAATTGCATGCTGACGGTGACATTGGATTCAGCAAAGAGTATGAGGCAATACAAAATGAATCAATTAACGAAGAATATCCGTCAGAGCATTCACAACATCCCGATAATAAACAGAAAAATCGATATTTGAATATTATCGCATGTAAGTAAAGCATTTACATTTGAAACGGCGGTGTATTTATAATATGACCTTTCTTCTTTCTTTCGTTCTTTGTGCTTAGACGATCACTCACGAGTTCATTTGCGGCCGCTTGGTCGACAGAAAAAATCAGTCGATTACATAAATGCAAACTACATCGATGGTTATCAGAAGACGCGTGCATTCATTGGAACACAAGGTCCACTTCCAGGTACATTCGATTGCTTTTGGCGTATGATTTGGGAGCAACGTGTTGCCATAATTGTAATGATAACGAATCTGGTTGAACGTGGACGAAGAAAATGCGATATGTATTGGCCAAAAGATGGCACCGAAACCTACGGCATTATTCAAGTAAAACTCGTACAAGAAGATGTCATGGCCACATACACAGTACGAACATTTGTAATAAAACACTTGAAACTTGCAAAGAAGAATAAAAGCGCCACAGAAAAAACGGTTTATCAATATCATTACACAAATTGGCCCGACCATGGTATGAACAAATGTTATTTTCACACCTTGGGGAAATTGAACAAACTAAACCAAAAAAAAACAAAACATTGTATTCTAGGTACGCCCGATCATCCATTGCCCGTTTTAGATTTTGTCAAAAAATCAGCGGAAGCAAATCCGCGTGATGCAGGTCCAATTGTTGTAAGTACTCATTCGTCGAGTTCTTTTCTTTTAACATAATTCTAATTCAAAATTTATCTCTTTTTTAGGTACATTGCAGGTACATTTTGAGTCCATTTGCTATTTTCTATATCTTGTATTTCGGATGGCCAATCATTATGAGTAGGTTGTAATTCATATATTGATATTTTGTTTTTTTTTTTCTTCTTTTTTGCAGTGCCGGTGTCGGAAGAACCGGAACCTATATTGTGTTAGATGCAATGCTAAAACAAATCGAACACAAAGGTGTACTGAATGTGTTTGGATTTTTGCGACATATTCGAAATCAGCGCAACTTTTTAGTGCAAACAGAAGAACAGTACATCTTTATTCATGATGCGTTGGTTGAAGCGATAACCAGTGGCGAAATAAACATTAAAGCAGATATGATAATTGAGATAAAAGACAATTACAATTTGCTGGCAACACATTTTAAGTTAATTACACAGTTCCAAGCAAAGGATGTGCACACAGCGTCGGCCATGAAGCCAGTAAATGTGTGCAAAAATCGAAGCTCATTGTTACCATTGGAAGGAAGTCGAGTGCATTTAACCCCACGGCCAGGTGAAGATGGAAGCGATTACATAAATGCCACTTGGTTACAAGGTTCGTTTTTATATTTCACTTACTTACGTGTGTAGAAATGAGTTTTGGAAAGGGTTGATTAATTTGGTACCGATTTAATATTTTCCAGGTTTTCGTCGACTTCGTGATTTTATTGTGACACAACATCCCCTAGTGAACACAATAAATGACTTTTGGCAAATGATTTGGGATCATAATGTTCAAACAATTGTGTTACTGTCATCGCTTGATGATATTGTAAGAATATAATTCCCCCCCCCCCTTTCGCTCTCTTTCTCTCCTATCATTATTTTTCTAATGTGTTTGCGAATCCTTTTGTTTTATTTTTACAGTCTTACCAACAATTTTGGCCAGACGATTCGCTAACGATTGAAAGTGACCACTATAGAATAAATTATATTTCGAAAATGAACAAATGTGACTATGTGTGTCGTGATTTTGTGATGCAATCGATACAAGACGATTATGAGCTTAACGTACGTATGTTGCATTGTCCGAGCTGGCCTGAGTTGGGTCATCCATCTAGTATTTACGATTTTATTGTTGACGTGCATCAGCGTGGCAACGAATACAGAAACGGTCCCATTGTTGTTATCGACAGGTAAATGATGATTCTTTTATACGGATTTCCGAATTTGATTCGACCATAAACATGTTTTTTTTTTTCGTTTTACATTGAAACAGATATGGAGGTACCGAGGCATGTTCGTTCTGTATTATAACATCGCAAGCAATGCAATTGGAATATGATAGCACTGCAAATGTGTATACATATGCAAAGCTATATCACAATAAGCGTCCTGGCGTATGGCAATCGGTTGATGATCTCAAACAAATTTACCGCATTCTATCGTATCTACCATCTGACCTAACGCTACTGAAATCAACAGAGATGCGCACTGAAATAGAAGATTGCACAACTGCAACGCCAGATTTATACAGTAAAATTTGTAGTAATGGTAATATTAGCTCTAGTTTGAATACAACACAAAATTCAATTATAGCAACAAATGGTGGAACAACGGTCAAATTGAACGGTGGCATCATTAGCAATGGCAATAATGACGAATTTTCGATTGTCGTCACCGAACCGGATAACATAAACGTTTAATTTAATTGTACGAATCATCTCGACATTTTTACCGTACCGTCTTCAAGTCATTTATGAATCTGGTTCTACTTTGAGTTTTCTGTCGTTTGATTGGATTGCATTTTCAATGCGAAAAGAGTTTTTTTTCTAAACTATTTTTCACTGCAAAGCAATAAATCAATAAAAATTATTATTAATCAATAATTATTCGTCCAAAGAAATTGTTCTGAAATAATTCAGAAATCGCATTCGTTTTCGCGATAAACTTTTCATTTCCAATTTTAAAATGACAGATGCTTAAATTTCAATTGAATTAAATTAATTTAAATCAAATTGATTAAACTCCATACGCCATTTCGATGATCGATTTTCGAATAAAATTCCAAAATCATAAAATAGTTGCGCAGAAATGAACTGAAAGTAGACAAGATCGAACGAGCAAACGTTTAGTTGGATTGAGTCATATAATTAAAACAAGATACACATTTATGGCGAAAAAAAAATAAAAAGAAAAAAAACAAGACGAACGAATGAATGAATGAACGAATAAATGGATAAATAAAATACTCTTTGCGGGCGTTTTTTTTAAATGATGCACTATTATTTTTCGAAAAGACTGGTTTTTCTACAATTTTTTATGATTATTAACTAAAATAAACGAAAATTAATTCACACGTTACAGGATTGAGCCTTCATTTTATATGCCAGCATATATTTGTGCAACAACTGTTTTGAAGGCAAATTCGAACGAAATAAAATGCAGTAAATAGTTTAATTCTAGCAGATGAAAATGAATTTTGATCAGCTTAAAGCCAAATCAACGCCACCATGTTTCCATTTAACTCTCTTTGTATAATTTGTGTTGTTGTCATTTTCAATTCAAGTTCAATGTACATTTTTCTCGTTTGTTCAGTTTTTCCCTATTTTATTCACTTTCTCGATAAATCGATGTAATTGTACAACAAGATAATGTAATATAATGTGCAAATTTGATTCTTAATTGATTTATTTCAAAACATTTTGACATTTTGAACGAATGACTTTTCACTTGCTGGAATTAATTCCGTACATTGCTACAATTTTATAGAGTCGTATTTTATCTGGTGTGCGTACTTCATTTTCATTATTTCATTGCCATTGCACCGTATGTTCCTCATTTGTTTTATGCATCCCATAGTCTCCTGCAAAAAAATAATTGAAATCATTACATTTAAAAAAAAACACACACACACGGAATAATTGTGTTTTATTCAAACGAAAAACAGTCATCAAAACCTTGAATTCTGTTTGAAAAACTATAGAAATATATGATAAAATGATACACAAAGAACATGTAACAGAATTTAAACAAAAAAAAAAAACTTTCTCTACTATGTAAAATATCGATAATAAGATAAAGTACATGAAATATTATTGTACGTAAATTTAATAAAAGTAAAAATTAATTAGTGTTTTAACAAAAAAAAATTCCATCAAAAAAATCACCGCAAAATAGAAAAAAAACATTTTCTTTTGCAAAAAAGCAAACATTTTAATGACTAAAAATTAAATTTAAAAGAATAACGCAAAATGTGTGAAATGTGAGTTTTAGCAACAGAGAGACCGAAAAGAATAGGGAAAGCGACAACAAATGTGTGTATGAACACAAGTATAAACAAACAAACAAATATTAGATTAACAATTGCGAACTATATTCGCAAACAAAAAAAAATCACATTAAATAATAAATTTATTGAAATAATCGTAGTGAAATACATGTGATTCAATGAAAATGTATATGAATTGAACCCACTATCTCATTTTAACAAATATTTACAGCACAATTCCAACGAAAATACCACAAAACATAAATACTGTACTGTTATTTTCAATCATGTTTTGAATTTCGTTTTGTCTCTCTTGCGGCTCGATTCGAATCAATAAACCTGAACAAAAGTTGAGCAGCATGCGAAATGAAATTCAAAATAAGATATATATATCTAGTCTTATACGATTTTGTGCGAATACGATATCGTTGGACAATCCAAGACGAATCAATTTTACATGTAAAACCAAAATTTAAACAAAACAAAAACTATATATATATTTAATGAATAAAATCGGCTGAAGCAATGAACAATCTTGGATTCCATTCAAAACCCTTGAATGCACGAAATGCATTGAATACATCACTGAAATCAATTCAATATATTTTCAATGATTTGGAATCTATTCTATATGGAGAATGGATTATCCTTTTGATTTTGAAGAGTTTTTTTTTAAACACACATTTTTACCATCTTTTACAATATTCGTACATGTGTAAAATATGTTATTTATGCCGATGAAATTATAATATATTAATACCACGTAGTTGCCATCAACATATGATAAACTGCAAACAGAGTTTCTGAAGTGCGCGTAAAGGTTGCAATTAATAAACCCAACGAAATGATCTTCTGAATTGAACCAGTGAAAACATTACAAAGTGTTAGCCCGTAAAGCCCGTTATAGTAATATTGGAAGAAGAGCAAGTGTCCATTTACCCCCTTCCATCTATGGAATGCATTTCCTTTGAACGATAATTCAATGGGATTTGGAAAAAACGTCTTTCATCATTCGAAAGTTTTTTTTTCCGGTGAAACTCTTGAAAATCACTGACAAAGATTTACTGCACAAAAATCTCATTGAATTTTTAGTGGGGGAAAAACATTCTTTGGCTCGAATACATTGCTTCTAACCTAATTATAGCTGTGTAGTTGAATTGAATAACTGCAAAATGTAGTTATATTTCCTAAAAGAGAAACATTGGTATCCCACTCATTTAAGAAACTTCACAAAAATTATTGTCAAATAGAGATTTTTGTTCATTTCTGATTTGATTTAGTGTGGTGAATTTAGTTTAAATTAATTACATTTTTTTTAAATATTTTATTGTGTTTATAGTGGAATCAATAAATTTCTCAATGGATGCATAATTAGAACTGTTTCCAATACTTTTTTCAATTTGAAATTTAAAACTTCAAAAAAAAAAGTTCCGAAAAATGTAATTGGTTTTGACGAAATTTACGAAGTCAATTGTAAAACAGTGTATAATTTGATAATGTTTGCAAAGTGTTGCACTTTAGGTCTCATATTCAAATGAAAATCACATTTTTCGATTTTATTTTTTCTTCAAAGAACTAGTCTGGAATCATGAACTTCCGAATCATTTTCGAAAACATTAAATGGTTTGGAATGTTGAAGTCATCGAAGACTGAATATGTCTTAATATTAAAACATATATTTAACCAATAAACAACAGTTTTTGCAAATATTCTAAAACAACAAAATATCAAAACACACAACAGTTTCACAAACAACAAAAATCACCAATGTTCATTTAAAATAATAAACAAAACCAACACAACATGTGACCAAACACCATTTTTATTCGAATAAATTTAATATATTGAACAACAGTTTTAAGATGAACTATTTTGGTAATGTAAAAAAAAACAACAATAACAAAAACTTGTTTCCAAAAATGTTAGCAGCAAAATCTATCAATTAATTTTTCAACCGAATTTATTTCGATTATTTATAATTCGATCTTTTTTTTACATTTACGTAGCCCAATTCAATGCACATATACAATAAAATGGATAGTTGGATTTTGTTAATAACAAAACAGTGAAAAATGAACGTTTGAAAATGCGATAAATTTCTATAACAAAATTAAACACCATCGCAAGTAATTTTCTGTTCAAATTTTGAATATTGAATAAAACAAGCATGAATTTCACAAATAACAATAATTTCTATGGCAATCAAATAGAAGCTTCAAATAAAAATGCAATAGTCTTGTTTTAATTCAATCTGAACCAGCACCGATCTTAGTTATTTCAGTACATATGACCATGTAAATATAAACATAAACATAATTTATGTGTGCACGCAAATCGTGACGAGTATGTATGGGCCCTATGGGGAGTATAATTTTTTAGTTACTCATAAACGTATATTTGTTAAAATTGATATGAAAGCAAATTAGATGGAAAAATAAAATGAATTAAAGAACAATTTAACTTTAGTTTCTAAGAAATAAGGACAGAAAAGTGAATTCATATTATGCATTTAAGGGACAGACGACAAAAGATGTAAAAACAAAAACATTTGCAAACTCAAAATTAGTGGACATTAAATGCCGTTTCAAATGGAAACCATGAAAATAGGTAATTCCGATTATGGAAATTATTTGTCACACAACAGATAGACGAAAATATACTTACAATCTCACATTATACACGTAAATTGTAGCCGTGTAAAATTAAAAACTGAATAAATAATAAATATTTGCTTTTAACATTACATTTTTGGTGTATCTTTTAATTTTGGTGTAACTTTTATCATATTTGCTCCCATTTATGTAATTAATTGGTAACGTAATCTGGGTTCATTTTTACTATCATCAATAGTTGTTTTTTTTTAATAGAATCCTAATCAAGGTGGGAAACAACATTACTATGATGAAAACAAAAATGAAATTTTGCGGCGGTATCATTAGATTTCACTGGTATCTGTAGATTTTTTCTCTCTTGAACTATGCGCCAATCCAAATGTTAAAAGGCCGCCATTTTTAATATTTTGACATTCATTGAAACGTCATAGTGTAATGAAATGTGAGCACGACTCATCTGTCAACGAAGTGCAGGCGAAAAGACTCTGTCGAACATCAAACATTTTGTCAACTAAATAAAATTTATTTCCAATAAAACCAATAGAAAACACTGCAGAAGATATGGCAACGGTAACTGCAGGAGGCTCATACTCGGAAGATCAATTGGCAAAGAAAGTTGACCGTTGTGTTACAGACACATTAGTCAAAGCTGGTAAGTATAAAAATTAAAAGTGATTCCTTTTCGAACATTATGTAAGACTTTGAATCCAAATAAACCATTTTCAATGCATTTCATTTGGTATTCGATTGATTTATGAACTCATGTACGTATTTTGTTTGACAGGTGGAGGTTTTCTAATTGGTTCGCTAGTATCGTTGTTGTTCTTCAAGCGAAGAGCTTTCCCACTTTGGCTCGGCACAGGATTCGGATTTGGTGTTGGATACAGAAACTGCGAAACTGCATTGAATTCCAAAGAAAAGTTCTAATCATCTCTTCTTGAAACCAATCAAACTCATTGAAATGAGAACTAATAAAAAAATATGATTAGGAAAATGAAACTATAAACGAATAAAACATCAAATTGATATAATCAATGAGCATTTATTTTTATTTAAATTGTTTTTAACAATGAGGTAAACAAACAACATTTTTTGTCGATGAGCAAAATTCCTCTCTTTCAATTCATTCATATATATCACGATAATAACGACTGACGACTGCTTTTATGCATTGAAATGTCGTGAAAGAGAAATTCCTAAAAAACTAACGAAAAATGAATTGCAAAAAGCAAAATGAAAAAAAAAAAAAATTATGGCCCATTACGGGATCGAACCGTAGACCTTCGCGTTATTAGCACGACGCTCTAACCAACTGAGCTAATGGGCCCATGTGAATATGTGAACCGAGTTGAGTTTTCAGTCGTTGACTGAGAGCAATGAGTTCAGCGGGGCAACGATGATTTTGATGTTTAATCAAAAGGATTTTTGGATTAGAATTTCAAGCAGAAGCAATAATTTTTAAAAATAAAAACTTTCGATTCTCCCATAGGCCATTATATTTTTTTTTTTTTCATATTTTTATTTTTGTAGAAAATTTGAAATTTCCCCATGTTTTATGTTCTACATATATAATGATTTTTAATAAAAAGTTGCAACTGTTGCGAAAATTACGACTTTCGCGTTATTAGCATGACACTCTAACCAACTGAGGCCGTTGAGTCTTCAGTGGTCGAGTGGCAGTAATGAGCTCAACAAGGTAGAGATTATTATTGACCTATTACTTGATGAAAATGATTTTTTGAAATAACATTTTCAACAGATGTAACATTTTTGATTCTCCCATGGACCATATTTTTTTTATTTTTCAAAATCGCCAATTGATTTATTATGAATTTTCTAAAAAATTGAAAAATTTTGATATAACAAAAAATATAAATAATATATAAATAATCACTTCATACCACATTGAAAATCTTTCCGAAAATTTGATTTGAATGAGAAAAAAATTCGACATAGTCTACATATAATATGTAATTAAAATTCGGAGCAAAAATGTTGTCGATAATACAGAAAAAAACCGCATTGAAAACAAGAACAAGAAGGGGGGGAACGTTCTATTGATTGTGATTTGAGACTGTATATACGGTTGTCCCTTTCATTGTGTAAGTGAGTGTGCATGCATGTATACGTGTATGTGTGCGTTTGCCAGTAAATGTATTTTCATAATGAATGAAATACTTTTGCTCCTGTGAAAATAGAACTGTCAAATATCTTCTCTTTTTTTCCCCGTATAACTAGCAAGCACTTGAAAAAGTGTACAAAAGAGCATAACAAAGGTAGAAAAGGAATTCTGACTAAAAAAGTGAACAAAAACAAATTGATAACAAATAAACGTTGTAAATTCATTAAATAATTCAAGTGTTACTGGTGAATAGAGACAAACAAATTGCACAAAACATTTGGATTGAAGATGAACATTCAAAATGTCTTGAAGCAAATTCTCGTTTTGTTATGGATTTATACAATTTGTTTCAATGGTGTATTTTCCGAATTCCAACTCGGCGATCCATATCGGATTTTGGGGATTGAACGAAAGGCATCACCGCAAGAAATACGTCAAGCGTATAAAAAATTAGCCAAAAAATGGTGCGTACAAAGTTGTTGAGTTAATATTAAATTTAATCGAATCTATGAAGCAAAGTGTGAAACAAAATGAAATTGAAAAAAGAAGAAGGACATTTTAATAATAAATATTTGTTAATATTTTAGGCATCCGGATAAGAATGACGATCCATTGGCCGAATCGAAATTTGTCGAAATAAAGAAAGCGTATGAATTATTATCGGACAATGAACGTCGCAATGCATACGATTTGCATGGTGTTACAAACGAAGACGCATTCAATTCACGGAATGGACATGATTATAGTCAATACGGGCGTTTTGCGCCCGATCCATTTGAGGAATTCTTTGGGTATAATGCCATTTAATTGGAATTCATTTGATCTCGTGAGATTTTTCAAATCATAAATTTCATTTTTCAGGCATCGATTCAGCTTCGACCAGGATATTAGCATATTCCATAAATTATCAATCACGTCACGATACTATGAGACTCATGTTGTGCCGCGAAGCTATACAACACCGCACATTCTAATGTTTTATGCTGATTGGTGTTTTTCATGCATGAAAGTGGCCGGCGCATTCAAGAAAATCAAAGAATCTTTGGAACCGCTTGGGTTTGTATTTGCTACAGTAAATGCAGGCCATGAGACGAATCTAGCCCGAAAGGCAAGCGTACATGTTTTACCGTGTCTGGTGTTAGTGTTGGATGGCAAAAATTATGTGTTCAAAGAAAGCTCATTTGTACTGCAAAGTGTTGTTGATTTTATTCGTCAAAAATTACCGTATAAAATGATTGTGCCGATTAATGATGATAATGTCAATGAATTCCTGAGTGGTTGGTCTGATAATAGAGTACGCGCTTTAATCATGGAACCGAGAAAACAAATTCGACTTCGCTATCTAAACAGTGCTTTTCAATTTAGACAACGTGTACTATTTGGGTAAGTGATTTTTCGAGTCTTTGACCGACTTTTTCATCATCGACACAGTTTTAGAATCGAAACAGAAAATTGAAAGGAGAAAATTTTAAAGACTAGATTTTGATCTGTAAATAATTGACTATTTCAGGTCACTCAATTAAGCTTAGAATATATTTGTGTTTGCTTTGATCAATTTAGATTTTTGTTAACTTGAACTTTTTTTCTGTCGTTGAACATTTAGATTTGTTCAACTGAACACTGGTGCCGCCGATAAAATACAAGAGATGTATAAAGTACATCCAAGTCTTGACACATTATTGATGTTTAACGAGGATTCAAATCGTCCTGTGGCCAGTATTTCAATGAATGATATTCCAACACCAACTCTAAATAACGTTGTATCAGCGAATCAGTATTTGGCATTGCCTCGACTATCCTCACAGGATCTGCTCGATGGCATTTGCCCCACCGAATGGAATCGACCCAGAAAACGTTTGTGTGTCATTTTGGTCACCGAAAATACAAATGCTCACGATGAGGCTAGAGATGCATTGCGAAAAATTGCACTTGAATCGGCATTTAGTGCGGAACGTGTTCGTTTCGCCTATATTTATCAAGATCGTCAAGCGGAATTTGTGAGCGCATTATCAAATGGTAGCGAAGATACTCTTTTGCGATTGGTGGTTATTTGGCGTCGTGATACATCTCATATAAAATATGAATGGGTGAGTGGTGTGTCATTGCATGTCAAGCATTTAGAAAACGAAACGTACGAGCAAAGTTTTAATGCTACAAAACGCAAATTAGACGAATCGATTCAACGTTTTCTTCGCACATCCGAATCACTGTCATACGAAGCCGAAGTAAAGGTATGCTGTGTGCCAAATTCTTCTAATTCATTTGAAAAACATCGAACAATGGTTTTATTTTCTATTAATTTGTAGGATTTACTCGATGAACATGCTCAAAGTGTTTTCGTTCAAATTATTAACAAAATGTTCTTGTTGCTTGAGTATTTTGGTGATAATCTGGGCCGTGAACATGTTTTACCCGTACTTTCTGTATTTGGAACGATTGGATTTATCGTTGCCATCGGTTATTTGTTGGCATATTTGGTGCGAATTGAAGAAGAAGATATACAAAAGAAGCAAAGCACCAAAAATAATAACAATAATGGTAAATACCACAATTGGATGGTTTGAAAATATTTGTTTTGCTTAACTTTGTCTTTGTCGGTCTTTTTCATCGAAATGAAGGAACAGCCAAACCAGTACCATATGTGCCAGAATTGAAATTACATGAATTGCGTGCCGAAAAATACAATGGTTTGGTGCGACTGTTGAAACCAGGCTGTCGTACCATCATTCTTGTTACGGATTTACAATCAAGACCAAAATTGATTCCAGGTTTTCACAAAGCAGTGTGGCCTTATCGAAAGTAATTACATTCATTCATTCATTTACATGGACTATTTAATGTTGTGATTTTGTTTCTCTCTCGCAGAAATAAGACATTGATGTTTGCGCACATGCTCATGGAACGTGGTCAATCATGGTTTACAGATCTTCTCCGTCTGTCATTGTTGGAATCAAGAGATTTACAAATTAATCCAAGAAACTGTATTGGAACGGTGTTGGCACTGAATGGACATCGAAAATATTTTTGCATGTATCATGCCAAGCATCCAGAGACAATTCGTGGCACCAAAGTGAGTTATTTTCTTTTCACATATCACGTATTTCAATGATACAAACCATTTATTGTGAATACATTTTCCAGCGATTAATCAAACTAACACGAGAGCTTAGCAACAACGTCGATCCAGAAGCTGGAGCATTCCTAGGTATGAATGGAACTGATTCAGATTCCGATGAATTTGGCGGCGGCAGTGAATTAGATGAAAAAATTTTATTGGAAGAAAATTTGTTGGATGGATTGAGCAATTGGCTTGATCGTTTATTTGAAGGTTCAACACATCGCTATTATATAAATTATTGGCCAGATTTCCCAACCAAATAGAAGAAAAATACACAAATTTAAATATATATATATACAAACATAAAATATATTATAATATATCACGTGCGATTCAGTGATATAATATATATCAGATGTACTGCATGGTCTCGTATATCATACAGCAAAAACCGAACAAGAAGTTTTATGATAAATCTTCACATTTTTACACTTAATATAATATTACTCCCGAATGAGCACGTATACATGCTATTCATTAATTAAAAACAAATGAATTCTATCAGATTTTTATTGATTTGTGATTGACGTTAAGAGCAAAACCTTCCTAATTATTACATACAAGAGATTTGTTTTTCGGTTTTATAACGTTCAAGCATTTATTTTATAGCAAATGTCAAGAGGTTTTTGTTGAAGAACTGAATCCGTAAACAATTCAAAGCAGAATTACAATTCATGTGTTTTTCTTTTAAAATATTATTAAATCTAATGACAGAGTTTTGACAGCAAGTAAATGAATTTTTGTCAAAATGCCATCGTGCCGAATGTACCCGGACACATTTTCTAGTCATTTCCAAATGTGTGTTTTTGTTATTTATTTCAATTGAATTTATATTAAATGATAAGCATATTTAAGTACATTTTTAATTTAAACACAAATTCGTTGTCATAGATTTTTTTTTAGTGGAACAAAAATTAGATAAGCAGATGCAGCTATACGTGCTGTTAATCAGTTACCATGACGTAAATAGCTAACTAATTGAAAGTAGCTAAATAGACACGAATAAAGTATTCATTTTATTTAAATATTTCTTTTTTTTTTTTGTTGGTTAAAATAGTAATGTTCCTTTCATGGCCTGGAAATGCCTATGTAATTTACATATAAACGAGTGAGACTCAAACATGTTCTTCTTTTTCCATCAAATATACCAGTGGCGCCACCAATTTTACATATAAGCGCATACAAAATTTTCAATATGGCTGCGCCCATGAGAGAGAAAATTTCGTCTCATTCATTTCCGCCCCATGGTTCCTTTGCTGTTTGACGCAATATCTGAAAGCTTTCAAAAGACATTTTTTTTGAGAGATGTTCGATCCTTTCATACTTTGCATCTGTAGAATTTAAATAAAAAAGCTTTAAACTCGTAAAGAATAAAATCCATAAGCAGTTCATCGGGTTACTAAAGGAGATACAAAAAGTGCACAAGCCAAAATATTTTCAATCAAGAACTTGTTTCTGCAAGGAAAACGCCGATAATAGCGAAATAGAAATAAAACGTACCAAAAATTGTCAATATTTTTACTTTTTTTGAATATACAATCTAAACTCATCTCATTGCTATCCTTTTGCCACAGTTGTTAGTAACAGAAAGACGAACATTTTCACTATCGATTAAGATTTTATTATCTTTTGTTCAAAGAATTCAAGAATGTGCCGGTTTTAGTTGAAAGTAAGTGAAAGGATTAAACGAGAAGCAAGAGAAAAAAAATATGATTGCTCATGTGTGAGCTTATGAGAAATGGTTTGGGTATTTGAATATTAAAAGAGATTATTAATAAATGACATGTTCCAAATGTTTTCATTATCCACGAGATTTTATAAAAGATTAACTATTGTACCGATCCATTGTTATTTTCATCGGATTTCGTGTTAAGTTTTTGGGTATTTTAGGTTTAAAATAAATCCCGAATTTTGGTATGAAATCCATTTCAAATCTATAAACATTATTCGGAGGCACAAATATTGATGAAATTGAATCGTAGAATCGATCTATGAATTCTCTTTTAGAGCGCCATCATATGTTAAGAACCAAGTTAGAAATCCAATAAAAATTTAAATGACTAAATAATGAACACAAATATTGGTTTTGCTCATTTTTCATATGCCTTTATTTCATTGGACAAAAAAAAAATGAAAAAAAATAATATATATATATATGATATATTCATTAAAAATAGTCTAGAGTACAGTTGATTTCCATGCGACAAGTAGAAAAAAATTATATTGAAACTAAAGTCAAATGAATTAAGTATATTTACAGTGCCAGTTAATTAAAATACTATCTAAATTCATGGTTTTGTCTATATTTGATCTCAGAGGGTGGCGGCCTGGAGAATTAGAAAAGAAAAAGAAATTTAAATAACTCATGATGCAAATTATGGAAAATTATGCAAATAAATGGATAGCATACCGGCGGAGGAACCCATCCACCAAATTGCTCTTCAATTGCCTGGGCAACAGCAAGCGCCAAATGGTCTTGTCCTGGATTGGCAACCACCTGCAAAAATTCACCCATTCGAAATAAAAAAATGCATTCGATTCAAAATGTAATCGTTGAATTTTACCTGCAAACCAATTGGAAGCTTATGACGATCTAAACGAACCATACAATTCGTTACCGGAAGACCTATCGTATTAAAAACCATCATATAGCCAGTATCAACTAATTTATGGTATATTTGATAATGTCGATGTGCGGTTGTTGGAAATGTTGGGTATAAAAATACACCATTTGTTCCAAGCAGCTCTTGAAATTGATGTTTTAAATTTTCAGCGATATTGGCCAATTTTCTGTGTCTCGATTCAGGTAACCAATGCATCACTTGTTGTAATGGTCCAACTAATACTGATGGAAATATACTATCTGACATCCCAAGGAAGTATCTGCAAAAGTATCACCTTTAAATGAAAACGAACAAAGAAAATAAATGCCAAAATGTACTAACTTGAGCGTCTCTTTTCCCATATGTTTTCGTGGTTCACCATCCTCTCCTTCGTAGTAAATTGTCTCAACATTCTTTATTCGAAGCATGGCTGACATCGATATTTCTAGAGCCCATTTAAGGCCATTTATTTTGACTTTGTTTGCATTAAAATGAGACGCAACATCATCAATTGTCGACTTGATATCTTTGCTTAGACGTCGTGTTGTTCCCGATGGTCCATCATTGTTCATATAGAAGAATTTTATTGTGCTAATATCGACGTGCTTATCCAACAACAATTTTCTGCCATTTGGATCGTTAACGCATTTGAGAAGTAACGGCAAGTCACTGGCATACCGTGTCATTGGTGCAATGGTAAAGAAATCACCCCAATATTCAACATTACTAGCGGGAATGTGACCTTTTGGTGAAATTGCATATGGTGTTGGCTTATGACCGTAGATGCCAGTGAACATGGCCGGCAATCGTGCCGAACCGGCAATATCTGATGACAGACCAATTAACGAAGCGCCACTGCTTATCAAAGCCGCTTCACCGCCACTTGAACCGCCCGGCGTTCGAGTTAAATCATACGGATTCCGTGTTTGGCCCGAAACATTGTTATATGTTTCCCAGCACATGCACAATTCTGGAGTATTGCTAACTAATAAAATGATGCCACCATGCTTTTTCACTAAAACAACACACGGAGCATCGTACTGGGCAACGCGACGTTGTTTAAATACACGTCCACCTTGATTTATCATACCTTTGACGGCTATACTTTCTAAAAAAAATGAAATTGGCAAAAATAAATGGTAATCGATCGGTTGGCAACAGGATAACAAACCAATGAAAAATAAAACAAAGATTTCCGATAATTGAATTTACCTTTAACTGTCACAGGTAATCCAAGCAATGGTGTTTCTCGTTCCATTTCTTCCACAGTTCTGGTGCCTTTTGCAATTTCGGCATCAATTTGGCGAGCCTCTTCTAATGCCTCTTCAAATCGATCCTCAACAATTGCATTTACTAAGGGGTTCACTTCCTTGCAACGGTCAATATATGCCTGCACCACTTCTTCACTCGTTACCTGAACAAAATTTAACATTTATTTTCATTTTATTCACGGAAATTTGGTGTTATTACATTTTTAATAAATTAAAATACACACCTTTCGCGTACGAATCATATGTGCCAATTTCACAGCTCGTATCTCCAATAATGGATTTGTCATTGGTGGAAGTTTTTTCCTTGGCACCCACAATGTTGTGACTCTACTATATGGCACAACAAACCAACTGAATACAACCATCGCACAGCGAAGAAAACGCCGCGTAACATAATTCATAATTCTGAAAAAGATATAAATAAATAGAAATAAATATACATTTAAAAAAAAACATTGTTTATTATTTTTGAATGGAAAAATTCGATTTTATGGTTATAATGAACGGCAACATTATCGCTAACTTGCATAGTTTTCTAGTAACACAATAATGTATATAGCACATATTCCGTTTGAATAAATTCATTGGTTGTTCAGTTCCATAAATATATGTGCGTATACATTTATATGCCTTTAATTTAACAATTTCATAAGAACTTCTTTTGAACAGTCAAAGTGTTATTTCTTTTGTTTGAACATTGGGAATTGCATATAATTATTGTAGCTGAAACTTAACTGATTCGACTATTTCTTTGGAAACCCATACCCAGATGTATTTGACGATGAAAAGAGCTCACATGGTATTTTGTTTGTATAATTTGACGATTGCGCAGTTACCATAAAGACAGTGTGTGAATAAAATGATTTTTTATGATGCAAATCATAGTAAAGAATGTGATACCATAAAAATAAAGGTATTGATGTGAATTTCTACATTTTCTATTATCTAAAGTATCGAAAATGGATAAACATAAAATACTTCGCATTTTCACTATAACGGTAGTTGCAGTGCATGAAATGGGGTTGTTTTACACCCTGTAAATTCAATGTTAAAGCAACAACCGAATTCGATGTTGACCGTAAAATGCCGCATTAGAATCTCTGGCGAATATTTATATTAAAAACAATTTAAAAACGGAAGCGAACATTGTTCGACTTTTATTTCATTACAGCGATGACAATATAGAACAGATATTATGAAAATGTGCTCGAAGACTTTATTAGTCATCATATAGAATCGTTCAAGACAATTCACCTCTTTACAGATACCATTTTATTTGGAACTGTCGGCACTTTAAGCAAAAATTGCTGAAAAACGTTCATTGAATTAAAATTATGAAAAATATTTTCGTATCATATTTTTTACGAAAAAAGAAAAATGATTTTATCGGTTTTTTATCATGTCTCATTTCATCTTTAAATGATCCTGTACAAAAAATGCCAATAAAAAATAATGTACGCCTAATATGATTTTCGTACAGGATTCCATTTGGGACAATCATTTCAAGTCCTTGACTGTAGCAGCTACAATGATTTCCGTGATAACCGCATGCTATAAATGACGTCACAGATATGTCATACGGTAAGGAAATAATAAAAATAAATCAGTAGGAACTGTGATCGACGCTAGAAGTTGGCTGACTTGCATTATATACCGTCTGTCATGTAAATTAAACGAGCTGTTGATATTTCTAATTCCATGAACATGCCCACATTTAAATAAATCACAAATGGAGTAAAATATTTTTTTTTTCTACATTTACTAGTCAACTAGATCCTTTCAATTTGACAATATAATGATGACGCAAATAATGATGTCTCGCATGCTGTGATGCATTTCATGTATATATGTATTTAATCAAAGTAGGAAATAATCAATTTGTAAGTTATTCGCATCGATTCTCAATTATAAAGTTCTACATAAATGCTCTTACGATACCTAGCATATCTATAAATATCGATGGCGAAAAATCCAGACATATTTTACAAGTGCACATTATCGCACTTTATAGTATTCTCACGTGCCTGAGTGAATTGCATGCTATAAATTACATTGTGATCAGATGTTTTTATTGTTTATAGTTCACTGGAGTCAATGATTTTTTGTCTTTACACACGATAGTAAGTTGAATGCGTCATTCCTGCATTCATTTCATAGTTTGTAATTTTCCTTTTCGTTTCATCTCACATATTCCAATGTGAAATTCAACGACAAAACTCGATATGTGCTCACTAATCATCACATTCCAATTTAATTCATGCATTTTGCCTATGGATCGCCAACAATGTAATTACAATAATATACTGATCCCAACTCAATAAATATGACTTGTACACATGCATTTCAAGGTGTTAGCTCATTTAAACATCATTATACGGAGAATGAATTACGCAGTACTTGGGTTTTTCTGCATTTTCTAATTTTAAACTACAATTTCGCTGACGCTTGCGGATCATCATTCATTAATTTGCGCTCAATATCGCAAATTAAGATTCAATTTCCCTCCCAACATGATTTAATAGCGGAAATTAATGTCTACGCAATTACTGAGTAATAAAGGTGACATTCGCAGCGAGAGAACAAAAAAATAAACGTAATTTCCCAAATGTTCTTTTTGGGGATTTTTTTTTTGCATCTTTATGAAAACAACAACTAAGAAACTACAAAATTCGAATGGAGAATGAGTTGTAAGAAATCTGTTTTCGTCGTTTATGTTTTCACTTCTCTTTTTTTTTTTAATTTACGTTTCACTTTATAATTGTAATTATTTGTTGTATTTTTTTTTCATTCATACACATGTATTTCTTTTGTAAAGACTCCAACCATAAATATATTATGTTGTCTCTCGATGTATTATTGCTTCTCAAAAACAATGTTTTTTTCTCACATATTCATTCATTTTATACACACACATGTATGTGAATAAACTGAAATGGCGAGAAAGTGTTAGTTTGAAGTGATGATGTTGATTGTGATGAGCAATTATTTACAAATAGATTTAAAGAATACTGACATTTGAATTTGTCATTACAATATGTACATTTCTAAATTTCAAAACATGTTTCATTTAAAAAGTCGGTCCATATTTTGAAGACATTTGCAATTATGCATCTTGGATCTATTTCATAATGTGTGCCAATTTCAAAAAATAATAATTCAAAACTTCAAAATGGTGTTGCATTTGAAAGATGGATTTTCTGGTTTCATAATTTTCAAATCTTATTTTCTTCTTCATTTTTGACTTGACAATGAGTGTAGAAAATAAACTTGGTGCGATTTTCGGCACAGATTTGGCTTGTTATCATTTTCATTCAGATGTTCACGAACAGTCACTTTAAAAAGTAGTTTGTTGAATGTGTATAAATGTGGCAAGGTCATTTAAACATAAAACCTCAGCTTCAGTGAGCAGCACTTGTAGTACTTGATGAAAATGAAAATCGAACAAAACGATTTTTTTCTCTCTTTTATTTGGTCGTTTAACTGTTATGTAAGTGACGTATGGTATAAATTTCCAAAAAAAAAGTCATTGCAATTTGGTTTTAGGCTGGTTTTGATTCACAACCACGCACTAACGTGTTACTATTTTGCGGTGTACAGTTATAGTTCAAGCAAACTGCTACTGGTTATTTGAACACTTTTAAAAAAAAAAAAGGTTGAAAACATGTTTGGTATGAACTGTTGTTACTAGCGGTTTAAACTCAATTTTTCCAACCTTTTTTTACATTCATAAAGAATATCGTTCGCAGACTAAATTTGCGGTTTTTCCAAACCTTCATTCACTTGCATTTTTCTTTGAAATAAGTTTTGCTATAGTTTCGATCAAATCATTGCAATATTTTAATTATCTCATACGATGAATGACCAAATCAATCGTTATTGTAACTAAATTCATAATAAAAATGAAAGAAATCAAATGAAGTATATGAATAAATAAGAGGCTTTTCAAACATGACAAAAAAATGTTTATCTTTGCTCAAATCAGGTCGATTGAAAATGAAACGTTTGAACTATTGACACAATTAGTCAATCACACCAACATAACCGATGAAAATTGATTGCTCTTGAAATAATAGCTTCATATTGACCAGCGTGAAACGCATTAAAAGAATGGTTTAAGCTCCTGTCTAAAAGTGAAACTCATTGCCTTTAATATTGATTCAAATGCATACTTAATTTATTTGTTTTGCAATTTATTTGCTTTGAATGATATGCTCATCATTTTCTATCACTCACATTTAAAATCGGTTACATTCAAGTGTGCGTTTACAATTTAAAGTCGCAAACGAATTATTTATGCATATAAATCGAAGCAAACAAATCGGTTTTTCAAATTCCTATGTTCAATCATTTCGGTGAAATGAATAATAGTAATGTGTTTGGCAACACCAAATGGCAATGCTTGATATCCATTTTTCTCTCATGCACATATAAAAATGTTCAAACTCAATTCCCAACATCGAAGTAATAGTATTCGATACTTGAATTGATTGCGATTGTTTGAAGTTTTGAATTAATTGTAGTGCTGTGTGATTGCTGTTGTTGTTTTTTTCTCTCTTCTATTTTGCATGACTGTTAGTTTGAAAAACCTATAAATTAATTCAACAATAGGCAAAAAAAAAATGAGATTTAGTAAACAGTTTAAATTGTCTGATGTTTTTCGTACGCGCAACTCTTTGGAGGATTTTCAATAATGTGAGAATTTTTTAAAAAAATAATTGTGCAATTGAACCCTGTGTAATACATCTAGCGGCCGCCAGTCATTTACACTCACTCTATGTGTATTTAAAAATATGTTTATAATACCAATGGCATGGGGTTGACTGTACAGCCAAAATACACTCATCACTGCAAATAAAGAAATGTTTTAAATACAGATACAGTGATTGTTAATAAAGGCGGCCTACTTCTAGCTCATGCCTGTTTTTATATTGAATGAATAAATGTAAACGTTTCTATTGCTACAGAAGCAAGCACAACATTTTAAAAAAATATTAAAATCACGTGAAGCATGAAAATATCTAATTATCAACGTTTATTTATTAACTGTCTTTGTTAGCTAATTGCATTCAATAAACTAATATACAATTTATAAAGTATTGATATCAGGGCATTTTGTTTATTGCTCTACGTTTTATCGTTTGAATGATAATCACTTTTAATATAAATCGTATAAAATGCGGTATACTGTACAACACGGAAATATTCTTCCTTTTCGAATTTGTGCGATCGCGAATTATTGGGGCCGACAAGCTGAAATGCGATCAAACTCAATCATTATTGCATACCATTTGATTGTTTGTGGTTTTTATTTTATTTTATTCTTTGTTTATTGAATATGGTATGAGTCACTTGTATAAAGCTCTGTAGATTCTTTGAAAATTGACCTGATAATTGGCGGAACTAAA